CCTTCCGAGGAGTGGCTGGTGGGTTTGAACCGCCAGCCGTCTGGTTAGCAGGCAAGTGTCTTAGCCACTATGCTACCAGAGCTCCCTTTACCAAACTTTTAATTTGGTTCTTGACCATTAATCTCCTGCAGCTCATTAAAATTCCACCATACTCTACTACAGTTCTTTCACATGTAGTGATTTGGTATGGGGATATGTTTTCTCCCCATGACTGGACTATTTTTAAGGGCATTGTTAGTATAGTACCAGAGCAAAATGTCAATACCATTATATCCATAAGTGTTCGACATTCATAAAAATAAGTGAAACTAAAACTAAAACTAAAACTTTCACTACCATCAAGTTGATTCCAACTCAAAGCAACCCTGTAAGACAGAGTAAAGCTGCCCCATAGGATTGCCATGACTGTGCTCTTTATGGAAGCAGACTTTCACTTCTTCCTCCTGCAGAGCAGCTGGTGGGTTCAGACCACCAGTCTTCCAGTTGGTGGCCAAGCACTTTAACCAGGGCTCCTTTCAGTGAAAAGAGATTCTTACAAAATATGACTGCATAGCACAAATTATCTTACTAAATTGAAAATGAAACAGTAGTTAATGGGTTTTTTTATCATTGTCAAGTTGATGAGGATGTGGTGTGCCATTTTTCCAACTACTAAAAATATTTCTGATTCTACATGCTCTGGAATACGGTAAAACCCATAGCAAACTCACTACCATTGAGTCGATCCCACCTCATAGTGACCCCTCCTTGGGTTTCCGAGGCTGTATCTCCGCGGAAACAGATTGCCCATTCTTCCTTCTGAGGAGGGAAAGTTAGAGTCAAATGCTTTAGGCACTACACCACCAGAGCTCCCATGGAGAATGGTAGGAGGTGACTGAAAACTAAATCGAGACGTTTCACTTTTGCTGCTTTATTACTACATAATCCTATCTCACTTTGAGGGGGACTCTTGGAGCAATACTCGGTTTTTTGGTTTATTTTTTTTTAATTACCATTGTTTTTGTTATTGTTGTTTTGCAGGAACGCCAGCCTTTCTATTGAGAGAAAACTTTTGTTTAAGAAAGCCTTTCTGGCCTGTTTTTACCTTCTTTAGTTTCATCATATATAAATGCAGAGTCTGTAGGGGTGCTGTCAGTACTGTCATGTGTATATTCCCCTTTTTCAGAAAACATTTAAACTCAAAAAAGAGTTATTCTTGTCATCAAGCTTCTTTTCCTATTAGCATAAAAATAGTAGAGTGAAACTTTGTAAGCAAGTATACCTTTGTATAACAAAATGTCTGTGTTATACCACAAAAATGCTAACATTTTGGTACTTTAAAAAAAAAATGTGCAATGGTCCTATAAGTTTATGTGAATGATCAGAATTCCCAGGTGTATAGTAGAACTGACAAGGGGCAAGGTTATAGTCATTGCTTGGTCACAGCCAGCTACCCAGAGCGACCGAGTAGTTGATCCTGCGGGCTTGGGACCATAGTCGCAGGGGACATCA